TGGGGGTGAGGGCATAGCTCAGTGGTAGAACATGTGCTTAGCATGCACAAGGTCCTGGGTTCAATCCCCAGCACCTCCACTAAATGAATAAATAAACAAATACCCAATTTCCTCCCCACCTAAAAAAAAAATTAGCTAATGGGAGGAAGGAGAGAATGGATACTGGGGACAATTAGTAATCTCTGCCACAAATACCTGCATCCACTTCCTACGTATCTACCATTTATTGACTAACAGCAGGGTACTGAGTATGCTGGGTACTGTCTTTTATGCAAGAAAAATAAGAAAAGAAAGCTTTCTTGACATTAAATTGAGATTCACAGAAGAAACACATTTTAAGTCGTTTAGCCTTGTCTTCCCTGCATCCCTCTGCATATGAATCAGCTTTTGCTGCGACAACAAACAAAATCTCAGTGGCTCCCGACAAGCATTCATTTCCTGCTCCCGGGCTGTGGGGTGGCTGTGACCCAGCTGGGCTCCGGTGCAGGCCTGGCCCACCTGCCTCTCATGACAGGGTCCAGGCCGAAGGAGCAGGGCCACCCGGGGCACGCTGGCCTTGTGACCACGGCAGAAGGCAAGAGGCCAAGTCCCACAGGACCAGCCCATCGAGAGTCTCTCCTGGGGTACCACACACTTCACGTGCACGCACACTCCGGGGGTCAAAGCAAGTCCTGTGGCTGATGAGCCCACTGTGAGGACATGGGGAATGCATACCTGCCTCCAGGGAGCAGGGGCGGGAAGGATGGGCATTTGCTGAGCCATAATAGTCTCCCACCACTTCTGACTTTTGAAAAGATTCACCTACAGAACTCTTCCTTTCCCTGCCCCCTCTGCCCTCTAAGCTCCAGGGCAGGAGCTGGTGTAGCCCCAAAGTAGTAAAATAGCCCCAAACAAGGATGAATTACCACTTCCCTCATTGGTTTAACTGTTCTACGTGTACTAAACTCCCAGACTCTGTATGGCTGGTGCCCAGTGTTTGTCCCCCAGGCAGCCTCCAGGCCACCAGCAGTGGAGGAGATGTGTGTACCCTGCAACATGGGGGAGAGAGCTCTGAGGACCAGAACGGGGGCAGCCAGGAGGTGCAGGAAGGGAGCCGTCACTTCTGTCTGGGGACTCAGGCAGGGCTTTGTGGAACAGGTGGCTTTTGAGAGGGGCCTCCGAAGGACAGGATAGGGTTTCAGCAGGTGGCCGTGGGCCCCTGGGCACACTGCTGTTTCAGTTGGCTTAGCAG